CGGCGAGAGTGGCCGCTCTGGGGTGCTTTTTCTGGCGGTGCTTTTTGGGGAGAAACTGAGGTGCATAATGACGTTTGCAAAAATCGCCTTCTGACCGCTGCCATCTTCGTCTGCTGGGCTGTGGAAGATCGTCTGAGCATGCGCTGTTGCTCTGCTGTGCGGTATATCAGACACTGCGCATGCGTTCAGAGCTCAGTGACTCACCATTTTTCGCCCGAGTGTTAAGCGATGCATAGTCTATACTCCATGACGCTTTTATTCCGAGCGCAGTCGACACTACAAACCGATGGAGCCCACCAAGCAGCGCCAAAAGTGCATCGTTGTCTTTATCGGTTTGTTATCACCGGATAAACAAATCACTCACAGCAACAAGGGGAGGATCGGGACGCAGTCAAAGTGCCTGATTAGTTCAGTTGGTGATAGAAGCAAACGCACAAAGGCGACGATCCCCGTGACGATCCACTCTTGGCATGGCTTGAGTGGTTCCGTCCGGATCGTGTACCAATGGCTGCGGTCGAGTTTAATTTAAGTGAGACGCAGTCATCCGGGTGCCTCTCGTGGTGTCGAAGGGCAGAGACTCAATTCTTGGTGCAGGACTCGCGTAAAGGGCCTCGCCAGTGGCGTCGCTGTCACAGAAAATCCGTCGGATGTCGGTGGCGTCGGTGGCGTGACGGGAAATTCCTGAGTGGTCGATAGCGTCGTGACGTCAAAGCCACATGACTTCGCGCGGGAATTTCAAAGAACCCACAACGCTCATGTGAAACGTGACGTCACGCATAGAATGAAGGTGGTTAAAGACATACGAATTAATGGTTGCCGCATGTTTCAAATGATCCCACTTGATAAACTGGTTCATTTGTTTTAAAGAAAAATTTGAAGAATTTACGCAGGATCGCACCCACGACCCTTCGGTTGCGAGCCAGACATGCTACCGAGTCCCGACTAGGCAACGGAGGGCTTGGGAATGGCACTGCCATCCTGCCGTCATTAGAGTGCCTCGATGTCTGTGTCAGGGTAAAGGCCTTATCGCATCGAGTGTTGTTAGCGCGTGCCGAGCAAACAGATAAATAAACCTTGCGGGGTAAAATGGCATCGAAGCACTGGCAAAAGCTCCTCGATCGCGCCGGGAGTGTTGTATCATAAGAACTAGGTCGTTCTGTCACTGAAGAGCGTGAGAAGCGATTGAGAAGGCCATGCGAACGGGCCCGATAACCCTATCGCGTTCAACTCTTAAAGGCGAAGGTTAATCGTCCTCCCAGTTTTTTTTGTTTTTTTTTCTTCACAAACATTTTCAGTTTTGTAAAGTGGGAAATTTGAGTTCGATTTATTGCGTGGAAACACTACGTGATGTTAAATTGCTTTACGACTGTAATTATAATTTATTTTCAGTTATATGTTATATTGCATTTTCTAAGATTTTGACGAAGTGAATAGAAAAGTACCTGTAAAAAGTAACTTCACTATGTTACAAGTTACTGGAAAATGCACCTAAGATACAGAAACAGATACTGAGAAATGAAAGTACGTAGGTTTGTACCTTAGGTACAACAAAAGTACCTAGATAACGATTTATTACTACTATTTATTACTTTACAACCCCGCTCTCTACTTAGGACAATAGAACCCTGGCGCCATCTATGCGGTCATCTTGGAACTGCATTTCACTAAAGCGAAGGTTTTGCGATATTGGCGGGATCAAATGTGCGTATTGTCATCGAGAAATGTTTGTTCATAACACTGACAAAAGTATTTCCATCCAAGAAAGAATGATGTGCAAAATAGGAAATATACGGGATGCGGCTGCCCGACAGATGACGCCAGTGTGCTCCCTCGCCGTGAGACATTTTAAGAGGTTTCAACTTTCGAGGCACACGGCCCAAAGGAGCTGCAAGTGTGTAAACCAGCCTTTCAGGCCAATCGGCTCGGGAGTTGATAGCCGAACGCGGCTTGGGGGCTAGCTACAGATATACTAACAGTGACCGGCAGAACCCCACATATTCAGATTCCTAGCTTGCTCGCAGACTTTGCCTAAAAAAAATAAAATAAAATAAAAAAAAAACATTTACAAAAATGGCCTTGGTAAGAATGGTCTAAAGTGGCAAGTAGAAAAAAATGGTCCCGAAATGTAAGAAATAACAATTTTTCCGGCGGAACCAATTTAGAAACAGGAATACATTAACCACGCAAATTTCTCCCAACACTGTAATCGAAATTGTACTGAGTGAGTCAAGAGGATCGATGGCTGTTTGAAGCGATGGCGTAAATCGATTTCTTAACCTATCAAGCTAAACGTTGTCACAGAGGAGGTCGACGAACCTTCATTGAGGGTATAAAAATTTCACTGATGAAACCTGAGTAAAAAGTTAAAATTTAAAAACTTAACATTTCTACCTACGGCGACAATGTGCGAACCAAAGGTGTCTGATTGGCGCAACAGTCGACAGATGTCACTCCCCGAGTCAACAAAAAAAAAAAAAAAAAAAGGGGGGGGGGGGGGGGGGGCAGGGGTCAGTTGTGAAAGCACCTAGCCATCAACGCCACTGCGTTGATGAGTGGGGGAGACATCTTCCAGCTACGTCTTGTTTTGTTTTTAGCTCTTATGGTCATTTGAGCCCCTTTACAAGTGCTACCCACTGTGACTCTGTCCCGCGCGTTCTGCGGAAGCAATGTCTAAGATAAGCCGTGTTCTGTCTTTCTGTATGTTTCAAATACATTTTGGTATTCGTATTCGATTCGACATTTCGACCACTATTTGACACTATTCGATTCGAATTCTATTATAAATAAAATACACTACTCGCACCTCCCTACTTTTAGTAGATCGTTCCGATAACGGTACGATACACGCGTAAAGGTGTCCGCGGAGTATTAGGAGTCGTTATCGCAGTCACCGGAACGACCTACTAAAACTCCCTCTTGACCGCCCCGAAGCAACACGGAAGTTACTGAACCTCTTGGAAATAAAAGAGGAGTAGTCAATGGCAAGGAGGCGGCTCTCCGCGCTCCTTATGACTGACCGATATCATCTAAAATCGGGCTGTTTCGCGCCAGGCGGTGTTGTAGAATTTCTCCCCAAAACCATAGGTTTCGGGGAGAACTTCTAACCCGCAAACTTATAGATTTGCGCCGAGGCGAACACAGAGAAGTTTGCACTTTCGAGAGAAACGCCTGAAACATTGGAGGTGAGCATATCGATCTGAAAAAGCAAAAAGAAAAAAAAGAAAGAGAGAATAATATTTAAAATTTAAATTCAAAAAGTTATTACCCTTCAAAACAGCTTACTAGTCATAGCAAGTTAGCTTAGCATCCTCATTTTATCGTAGTTGTGCGTTCTCGCCAATTTTTTTTTTACATCTGGCAGTTTCAAATTCACGAGTCAAATAATCCTGGTTTATGCGCTACAACATCGACGTTTGTCGCTATAGCCTGATTTCCCTACGTTCCTTCGCACGTCAGCACGCGTTTTAAATTCATTCCGATTTTCTTTTGAACCCAATCTTTTCTTAAGACTATGGCTGTTGAAAATCATTTTATTGGATTATATATGCTAGGATTTTATACTGACGTAAAATCATAAAGAGAAAGGTAATTAGAGGGAAAGAGCGTCTCCCGCCTCCAATTACATTTAGGCGGAGGTTTCCCTATAAGGCAGAAGGGGGAAGTGGAAACGATCATGATAGCGCAAACTGTTCAAAGTTTAAATCATTTCCATTCGTGGTTTACGTGGGTAAATAGTTATAAAATTTTTAGGCTGCATTTTTACACATCGAAACACCGGATAAGTAAAAAAGCTGTAACTTCTCGCCTTTTCGGTTTCGATTGATGGAAACCTGCACCTCCGGATAACGCAACAAATGAGCGCCACTGTGGTCAGTGCCATATGGATGAAACTGTGACGTTGCACATGTGCGTCACTCCATGGGGTGTGATCAGAGAAGACAAGGCGTGACACGTTTCGCGGCCCACGAGGCCGCCATCATTGCAGCACTGTCGGCATAATATGCCATGTGGTTTCCAACTGTCTCTTGATTGGATCTGGCATCCCGTATTTTAGCCGTTAGTCCACCGTTGGGGGAGACAAGGTATAAGAAGAAATTACGCAATAATATGTTGTCTAAGCATCAAAAAACAATAACTTCTGACGTAAAAGCACTTCTATCTCGAACTCAACCTTATTTTCTTTCTTCTGTCTTTATTGTTAGTGTAAGCCCCTCCTTTTCCATGATGCCTCCAGGTGCTGAAAAATATAACAAACGAACAAACAAAAAAACACGCTGTGGTCTCTCTGTGTTTTGGTTTAGACCAACACGCCTCCGGACAATGCCTCCGGAAAACAGACGAGCACGCACGCAGGTGTTGCACTCGAGTTATACTCTAGCGTTCCCTTTCGACCTAATGCAGGAACAACATCCGATTGCGTCTGGAGCCGAGAACGTGCATGGCGTTCCTCGAGGAACGCACGCTCATAAGAATGCCCGCGGAGTTGGTGTTCTGAACTGCCCAAAGTCGGGCGCAAAGCGAGCTTCTAGTTATGTGTTTCTAATGGCAAATATAACATCACCTAATTTATGTACGTTCAACAGCAACGCAGCACCAAAAAAAAACCGGTAATCTTAGTATTATAGACGCAAGCTTTCTTGAAGAGACTGAAAGAGGAATTGCCCGCATCTACTCTTTAAATTGCACCAACACAAACAAATTCCGTTTCCAGTAATATTGTATGAGTGTATATACCCTCGTACAACTCTCTGCGGCTACGCCGTCAAAGCTAGCTGTGCGCGGGCATTCTTCACGTATTCTGAAATGCCACAGAAAGTTGTCCGCGAGTATAGTCGTTTCATAATTTTCTCAGGACACTTATGTAAAGTGCGTAACATTCAAACCCAATATCACATTAAGGCCTCTTTAGCTCAATGTTTCCATGTACAAAGTGGTCTTTGTAAACAAAAAGTTTATACAAAAACATAACACAAATATCGTATTAAATCGATTGAAAGCAATCCACTTATACTTTTTATTTGCATTTTTGTGTTCTTGGTATATCAGCGAAAACATAATAGATCATAATTTCGCGCTTTAACTCATTCACGACTCTTGAAGTGCCTAGCCATAGGTCAACAATCGCTTTCAAATGAAGCGTCCCTGTTTAGCAAAAATTCACGGTACAATTTCCACGAACAAGTGGAGTCTGTCGTTTTCGATAAACCCTCGACTTTCGATTGAATCTACGGTTTCCAAGAAGGATCCCAAGCCCGTGTTTCGCGTTCCTACTGGCCTCTTGAAGTTCTCCCGATGCTCCGGTTTGTTTGCGTGAACTCTGGCCAAAATTTTAGAGTGAGTTCTCGGGTGAATGAGACCCACGTGGCAGTCGTACTTAAAGGGCCACTCAAGGTCGTCGTCGTTCTGGCTCGCGTGAATTCTCATGAAGGAATGCAATCTCAGCCGCTCACCTTGCTTTTTCATCTCTATGTTCTGAGAGACTGCGTACCCGTACAGCGACTGCACTTCACTCTCCGCGTAGGCAAACGGCTTCACCAGCGTTTCTTCCTTTATTTTTTCCCACCCTTCGAGGTACCAGTGAATAATTCTGGACCTCAGCTGACGCACACTACGCGCAATGTCCATCAACTGAGATGACAGGTTCTCCCCCAGTCTGAGTATTTGCTCTTGACAATTGGCTTTGGTCGTTTCGAGACCGCTAAGAACTGAAGACCGAACTGCACCCATCTGTTCAAAGACCCTCGCGAATTCAGCTGTTTGATAGTGAGTACTTTCTAGGAGGTCATTCAGGCTACTCTGGAGGTGGAGCTGCTCGTCATTCATTTTTCCAACGGCATCTCTCATTTCACCGATCGCTTTTCCCACGTCATTGACCGATGTACCGCCGCGCCTGTTAGAGGACGTCCCTGGTCCGTCTTCGATCAAGAGTGCGGTGCATCCCGACTTGAGGTGTCCCACCACGTCGCTGCGAAGCACGTAGTGGTCGCAGCGAGAGCAGCAGACGGCGTGGAAGGTGCAGTGCTTCTCGAAGTGATCCAGGACGCCGATGCTCGAACCCGAGAATGTGCAACCGTGTGGGGTATTCCAGCAGGCCACCTTGTAGCAAGAAACAAAACAAAAATAAAAACGTTAAATTAGGTTAATGAATTATTTTAATGTTTAGATGGCATATTTGAAGACGCAAGTTAGATGCTTCACGGCATCTTCAGGTTTTGAACTCAAGGTTTTAGGTACCAGGGCACACATAATTTGTCCTCCTGCAATGTCGTGCCGTATCAAAAAAAAAAAAAAAAAAAACATTAATTGTATTACGTAAACGGCGGACCTGTGTAACTTCGTGTCTAAAACGAGATTCGAAACTTAATCTCAGTAGTGTAATTCTTAACCAAAGTTTTGACATACCTGCTGCAGGGAAGGACATTAGTTTTTATTTTATTTATAACTGCTGCAGACTAATTTGAGCCCAAGCAGGTTGTTACAACATAGAAAGACACACAGAAACACATTTCAGATACTATAATTAAAACACGTACATGAAATAATATGACTATATTGTATATCGTGTTTCTTTAGGTATTAGAAAATGTGCATTTTGATTGTATAGAAATAGTGGCATTGAATTTCAGATACAATTTTATTCAAATGAAAATTTTGACACATTTTTTTTTGCGATGTGAGTTATGCCAAGGGCATGATTCATAGCCGCGCTATGAGGACAATGAACATTAAATAAAATGCAAGAAACTTACAAGGAATGCACGAGAGGAATATAATTGTTTACTTCTTTTTAGGGTGATTTTTGTGTTCGAAAAGGCGTTAACATTAAGATGATGTAAATGTTAAAAATGATTTGTTGCCGTTATAAAAATACTTGATTAACCTTGGCAATTGAGCTCACACTTAAATTATATGCCGAATATTTAGTTTTTCCGAATGTTGTACCTGCCCATCATTTGGTGGACTTGGGAGCTAAAGTTGTCTGTAATATTTTTGAAGATAATAAAATACCTCTCGTCATATATTTTTACTTATATACATTTCTCAAAAGTGTAACTGCACTTTGTTTGAATTCAATGTTATCACTGTTTTTTGTATTTTCATTTTTTATACATTTTTTTTTATTATTATTTTGCCCATCCGTCACGTGCGGTTATAATCAGAAAACCGCATGTTCGTTCATTACTTCCAACTTTTAATGGTATTTTTTCAACATCTTGCGTATATGATACTTAGATCATTATGAATACCATTGTTATTCAAAGAGCATACAGATGGTTCTATATTATATTAAGGTTGAAGTTTGTGCTAGTCGGTATACAGATATAGCAAAAACAAAAACGGCGCGAAGACAAGGACAAAGTAAAAGGTAACCGACAGCCTCAAGATATCCATATACATAATTGGTCGCATCCATTCGTTGTATTTTCATATTTGAGTTTTTCGCCTTAATCATTGTCTAACTAGAGTTAAGTTACTACTTGCGAAAACGTGGAGGATAAAGTTATCAGCCGTGTTTTCGTGGAGCTCTCCTGGGCCTGTTGCACGGGTGGAAACTAACGCGCCCCCGCGCTGCCCACGTGCTTTAGTTATTTTTGATGGCGTTCAGCAAGTCTTGAATTGGAACCACGTGTTTTGGTTTCACCAATTAAGAAGTTAACAGGTTTAGGTAAGTATTAGACTCGCCGCATTGAGTGGCCCCCTATTTACGTCCCCTTGGACGATTTTATTTACTGCATAAAGTGCAGTAGTCAACCTTTCGCGGCTTATTTTTTCTAAAATAAAATTGTCCGAAAATTAATCGAGCACTCTGTACATATAATACCAACCATTCTTTGAGCGTTAAAGCATTTTTCCATACACATGAGCTAAAGGGATATGAAGTTGTAGAGGCTTGTGGCGACGACACCGCCTTCCCCGAAACACCGTCTCCCGAGCCGCGGAGGGGGCTGGCACGCACCGGGGATATCCGTCACCAGCTCGGGGCGCCCGGACGCGGGCCAGACCTCCGGAGGGTAGAACTCAAGTCGCCCCCACCGCAAGAGAAGAGGGTAGAGACGCCGCAAGAGCAGCGCCCGGTTAGGACGCATGAACATTGCTCGCAGTTTTGATCTTGTTATTCTTATGGAATCTTTCGAAAAATAAAACGTATTCAGTAGAACCTTATTTGTATGTATAAAATTTTCAAAGCAATCATTTTTTTTTCTCTTTTTTTTTTTGCGGGTTTTTCCGCCCAGGGCGCAGAGATAAAAGCGTGAAGCCTGACAAAGTCTCTGCCCCTTAACAGTTCAACAGTCAACAGTGCAATGAATACATTCAGCAAAACATGGCATACTCAGTAAAAAAAAAAAAAAAGAAGGCACAATGAAACAGATAGTTCGACATTCAACAGTGTGAAATGTAAAATATAATAAAAGGACACACGTAAACAACTAGCAAAATTGCGTGTTACACAACAAGCATGATTCGTATGGTATAACAAATGTAACGTGGTAGGACACAGAAGCAACACATCACTAATATAGGCATCAAAAAGAGTCTTCCATGGCAAAAAAAAAAGAGAGAAGGACACAGCATAAAATAGGACTGATGGCCGCCATTTAGTCTAGCAATGAAGAATGATCGAATATATATCCAGAACCACATTTGTAGTTAAGTATAAGTACATAAACAAAAATAATAACTTAGCCTACATATCACACAACAAAGAAGCTGTTATCACTGCCCATTAGAAAGCTTCGGCACTGTTTCTTGAAAGCATAAAATGTTTTACTGTTATCTATAGTCATATCAGTTCTGTTTAGCATCTTGGTTATCTGAAATGACAAGGTTTGGCGGCCATAATTTGTTCTTATTGAAGGCATCCTTCGCTTTGGGTCTCGTAGTTGGTAAGGACCTAAACTCTCTTTAGATGTGGAGTATATTCTGCGTTTGTAAATCCATTGTAAGAGCTTCAAATACTATACTTGGTCTGCCTTAAGCATATTATATTTGACGAATAGTGGTTGGGTTCTTATGTTTCCGATATCTCCTTTATAATTTTCGCACATGCGAAGAATCCTCTTCCGCAGGGTGATAAGTTTGACATAGTTCGAATTGATCATCTTCCCCTAAACTAAAATGCCGTAACTGATTTTAACATAGAACAAAGAATAGTACAACCACTGTTTTAGACAGGTGGGCAGCAAGCTTCGTATTTTATATATACTTCCCGTAACACAAGATAATTCACCTTTGAGCTTATTCACGTGAGCGTTCCATAAAAGGTCCTCAGCAAACCATACGCTGAAAAATTTTTGTTCCCACACTTGCTCAAGCACAGTGGCATCAAATTTGAGACTGCCATCTAGTTTATTTACTGGCTTAAAAATAATATATTTAATTTGCTTGTATTTAGTTTTAAACAATCTGTCTCTAACCAATTGTATAGCTTCAATAGGCAGACATTTGCAGCATTTTCTATACATTTTTTCGTCATTCCCGAAAGGAGTACGCTAGTATCGTCTGCATACATTATTAGATCGGGGGAACCGGATATAGTCGTTATATTATTAACATATATAAGAGAAAGAAATGGGCCCAAAATTGACCCCTGAGGAACACCATGCTGTATTTTAAGTATATTTGACGATTCGCCGTTTATTAGTACATATTGGTAACGATCCGCAAGATACGTGTCAATTAATTTTAGAGCTATTCCGCGCACACCGTAAATTTCAAGCTTTCCAAGTAGAATATTCTGCTGCACAGTATCAATAGCTTCGCTCAAATCTAAGAAGAGACCAATAGTAAATAATTAGTTCTCAATATTTTCAACCATTTTCTCCTTTATGTTAAAGGGACACTGACAGGGTATTTATGCTCGCCGAGGTTGTTAGTTGTACGTGACATATGAGGGCTCAACTACCCAGAACAGAATTTGCGGCTCGAAATTCGGTTTCTTTCCGCCCGAAAACCGCCGATCAAGAATTGGCCGGTTCGAGTCTCGCTCACTCTCTTTTTCGCGGTCACGGGCCGTTTTCTAAGGTATCGATGCGACCACCAAATTTAATCAAAGTCGTGGGTCACTGAAGGCACACACTCAATATTAAAAATAGAAAAAAATATGAAACCCATTTTTGGTGGCTTCTAAAAAACTGTAAATACGTTGATTGAAAAAAAAAGTTCCACAGACAACCGGAAGCATTCTGTGCGTTCGTCGTTTCGCGTATCGTGGGACTCGCGGGGACGGCGATGGCAGCGGACGACGGGCGTGGGACCTCTATTTCAGAACTGTCGTTCGCGGTACCGGCGAATTCTGTCTACCGTTAAAAGAGAAATTTGGGACTGATCAAAAGAATTGGTATTCATCCCGTACGACACGCCCGGCCACCAAGCCGATTTGCACGAAGACGTCGCCGAGCCGTCGCTCCCTTCTCGTGGCTGAAGACATCGCTCGCGCAAACGTCAAGCACGACGTGTCTACTTCGAGTTGAATATGCACGCGTACGATTTCTTTACTAGGTGCGAATGTCCCCAAAGCGTGGTGCTTCCCGACTTCGACCCGGGAGTGCTTTTGCTAGAGAAAAATCGACAGCAAACTTTCAAACTTACAGTTTACCGGCTGAATTATTACTAAGGAATGAGATCCATCAGAAACGAGATCCCCAGTAGCTCAGTGGGAAAGACGTCCGCTTCACACGCCGTAGGTCCAGGTTCGATCCCCCGTGAATTTTTTTTTTTTTTTTTGCAAACAATTTCTGATGTTTACATATCTTTTTCTTTTTTTTTACAATCATCACTGAAGAAACAAACAAAAAAATAACAAACAAATGTTGTGGACGATACTTCGCTGAATTAAACTGTATGGGATTTCCGTTTTGACACCTGCGAACTCAATGTAATCATGTTGAAAGTAGTGAAAGCGCACAATAAAGACGAATACGAAGACGGAGAGGCAAACAGCACAAGCGCTGACTATCAACTGTCTTCGTATTCGTCTTTATTGTGCGCTTTCACTACTTTCAACATGCATAACCAACTCGCCTGCATCGCCACATTAGTTCAATGTAATCACTTTCCACAAAATGCAAGGAGCATATAAATCAGGTAGCGTCCGC